TTTGGGGGATATCTGTACTGTTCTGACATTTGGGGGATATCTGTACTGTCCTGACATTTGGGGGATATCTGTACTGTTCTGACATTTGGGGGATATCTGTACTGTTCTGACATTTGGGGGATATCTGTACTGTTCTGACATTTGGGGGATATCTGTACTGTTCTGACATTTGGGGAATATCTGTACTGTTCTGACATTTGGGGGATATCTGTACTGTTCTGACATTTGGGGGATATCTGTACTGTTCTGACATTTTTGGGCCTCAAGAAATTAGATTGGCTGTCAGTACTTCAGGATTGATCAATTTTCAGATCTATACCATAGTTTGTGAACTCTATAACTTTCCTACAGACTAAATAATAAATACTGATTTGGGTTATTTTCACCAAAGACATGTAGCAGAATACATTTTGGCCTAAATTTATGAAGAACAGTTATTTATTTGAAAACCTTTATAACAGAAACAAAGAAAAACATGTTCTTTTTTTCAAAATTTTTGATCTTTTTTTGTTAATTTAGAAGAAATTAAAACCCCAGTGGTGATTAAATACCATCAAAAAAAGCTCTAGTTGTGTGAATAAAATGATAAAAATGTAGTTTGGGTACAGTGTTGCATGACTGTGCAATTGTCAATCAAAGAGTGAGAGCGCTGAAACCTGAAAATTGGCCTGGGAAGTGGGTAAAAGTGCCCAGTATTGAAGTGGTTAAAATATTGTTTTTTCCAGTAAGAACTCATCACGGTGAGCCCTTTGAATGTCTTTTTCCTCCCACTTCTTTATATAAACTCACATCAAAGCCCCACAACACCTCTTGGATGTTTTTTCTTCAAAAATAAAACTAATGCAGTCACTATATCTAAGGACTGTCAAGTTGTAATTTATTGAATTGCAGGGTTTAAATCTGATTTAGACATTACTGGTGATCCTTCTTTTATTTAGGTATTTATTTTTTTTTAATTTACAATTAGATTACAATGAGTGATATATCTGTTATTACTGTCCCTATTCTGAAAATAATATTTGCCTAGCAATGCCTAGTTTCGTCTCTTATAATGGGGTACAGACAGGGGCGGACTGACCATTTGGAAACTCGGGCACTGCCCGAGGGCCCGGGGTCAGTAGGCAGCCCCATGAGATGCCTCTGGTACCTTTTTCATAGGCTTTTTTGAGTTTGGGTAAGGACACAGGGGCCCCATGATCCCCTATTGCCCGGGGACCCCATGAGTTGTCAGTCCGCCCCTGGGTACAGACCTGGGACAAGCACAGAATAAAGGGAAGTATAAAAAAAAAGTTCTGAACATCTTATTCTCCATCAGGGACTCAGGAAGCATTGGCGTTAACCTCTTGATGCCCAAGCAGCAGTTGCAGTGCGCTTGAACACCCTCACGCCGCACATATGTGAATATGGGTGGCAGAGGTTTCTTTGCTGACAGCGATCTCACCGTACACTCCCAGCACAGAGACCGAGCTGTCAAAGACTGCTCTTGGTCGATACTAATGATTGGGAAATGGCGGGACCAACTCCCAATCGTGATCATGCGACCACCTTGCCAGCAAATCACAGTGGTCACATAACTAGGCAGGCTTTTACTCCCCCAGGCATACAAACCCAGTTAAAGGGATGCTGGAGCAGGCAGGAAGGGCTTAAAGCAGTGGTTTAAAGCTAAAGGGGGCCTCAGATGCGCCCCTGACATTACCAAAGGGACGAGCATAAGGGGTAATTTACTAAATAACTAGAGCAGGTAGAATCTGGAGCAACTGTGCATGGTGACCAATCAGCTTCTACCTTCACCGTGTTCAGTTACTCTTTGAAAATGAAAGATAGAAGCTGATTGGTTACCATGCACAATTGCTTCAGTTTCTATTTGCTCCAGTCTTAGGCTCCATGTACACTGCAATTGATAAACTCACATTTAGGAGCTTTTCTGTGTTTTTTTCAGCAGCCCCTGAACTCTCCCTGATGTTTTCCTATGTGTCCATGTACACATCGTCGTTTACAGGCAGTTGAGTTTACAGTTGTTTTTTTTATGCACCAAAATTACGTTCAGGAGTAGATTTTTTTATCAGCGTTTCATGCTAAATGCATTTATAAGCATTTGAAATTGTTTTTTTAACTCTTCCAGTTCCCAATGCTGTCCAGAGCCTTTTTTCATCATGAAAAATGCATGCAAAGCATTTTCAAGGTACTCAGATGGACAAAACACTGAACACAGGATGTTCCTATCAAGCTGGTCACACATTGCAATGACCAATTCACACCTCAGACCTCTCCCACCCTTGGAAACAAAAGATATGTTAATGACCATTCACACCTCAAATTCCTCATGAAGACCCCCTGCCAGGTGACCTTACTGACTCCCTCCACCAGACACCTTTCCCACCCTTGGAAACAAAAGAAATGTTAATGAGCAACTCACTCCTAAGCTAATCTCAACACATCCTACTGTCTCTGCTTCTACTCTCTGTATTTCTCCAAAACAGTCTGAAATAGTTCATAATTTACCACTTTTCAGTGCATTCTGGGCATTTGGGAGGTTCTCCTGTACTTATCTTTAAAAAACGTTTCTAAATGCAAACGCACATAAACGCATTATGCAAATGTGGATAAACAGACGTTTTTTAACTTACGTTTTCCAGCAGTCAATTTCCATCGTTCTTGAAGTGTCCTGTGTACATGGGGCCCTACACTTCATGTACACTGCAGCTGATAAACTGACGTTTAGGAGCTTTTCTGCAGTTTTTCAGCAGCCCCTGAACTCTCCCAAATGTTTTCCTATGTGTCCATGTACACATCGCCGTTTACAGTCGTTTACAGGCAGTTGAGTTTACAGTCATTTTGAATGCACTAAACTTGCGTTCAGGAGTAGATTTTATCAGTGTTTCAAACGCCAAATGCTTGTAAACGCGGATAACCAAGTTTAACAGTATTTGGAATTTTTTTTTAACCATTTCCAGATGCTGTCCAGAGCCTTTTTTCATAATGAAAAATTGCATGCAAAGCGTTTTCCCGGTACTCAAATGGACCTGGTACACCATACTGTGAGGTTTCGCATGAAAGAAAATATGTTAGACACCGCTGCAATAATTTCTGCACAGAAATGAGATGGAACACATCCACAAAAAAAAAAAAGACAGCTAATCTCAACAAATACTGCTCTCTCTGCTTCTGCTCTCTCTATTTATCTCAAAATGTTTCAAATAGTTATTTTTTATTGTTTTTCAGTGCATTCTGGCAATTTTCTGTCTCCTGAGGTTATCTTTAAAAAAAACAGCTCTAAACGCAAACGCGCATAAACGCGGTATACAAACACAGCCAAACAGACATTTTTTATTTATTTATTATTTATTACAGGTACTTATATAGCGCCGCCAATTTACGCAGCACTTTACATATATATTGCACATTCACATCAGTCCCTAACCCTCAAGGGGCGTACAATCTAAGGTCCCTAACTCACATTCATACATACACATACTAGGGACAAAATAGACAGGAGCCAATTAACCTACCAGCATGTCTTTGGAGTGTGGGAGGAAACCGGAGTACCCGGAGGAAACCCACGCAGGCACAGGGAGAACATGCAAACTCCAGGCAGGTGGTGCCATGGCTGGCATTCGAACCAATGACCCGAGTACTGCCAGGCAGAAGTGCTAACCATTTAGCCACTGTGCTGCTGTACTGGTTACTGTTTTTTAACCTACGTTTTCCAGCAGTCAGTTTCCATTGTTCAGAAGTGTTTGCAAAACGTCCCCTGTACATGGACCCTTAGTAAATCCCCTCAATAGTGTTCAATATATGTAATGCTTGAGAGGACTATAAAAACTGCAGATCTAATAGAGGAAATGAGGGTCAGAGAGTGTGGACATGCTACTTTATTGGCTGAGGATATGTTGCAGAATACAATACAAAACTGGGAACATGTTACAGAGGCTAGTAGTCAATCCTATTCTCCTAATCAATGTTGTTACCAGGGGCGGACTGACCATTTGGAACCTCGGGCACTGCCCGAGGGCCCGGGGTCAGTAGGGGGCCCCATGAGATGCTCCTGGTACCTTTTTCATAGGCTTTTTTGAGTTTGGGCAAGGATACAGGGGCCCCATGATACCCTATTGCCCGGGGGCCCCATGAGTTGTCAGTCCGCCCCTGGTTGTTACTACAGATTGTTGAAGTCAGAGGGCCACACATCATACACCAAATGGCCACATGCGACCCTTGGGCTGCAGATTGGGCACCAGGGTCTTAAAGCATCAACATGATAGCCACACAAAAACATTTTCAGAAGTGGGGGTCAGTAATGATCCCACATTTGCCTTTCATGACAGGTACACTTTAAAAAAACCAATGGATCTGGAAGCACTTGGTAGAAAAGTCGTTTCTGGTTTCCCTGTGATTTTTGTTCTAGGTAAACATTTTTTACTTTGTTGCATCCATCATTGCTCTGTATCAATACAGCTGGGAATTGTGCATTGTGCTTCTCCACTTTCAGTACTTAAGTTTTAATAAAAAATGGATACTTTTGTTTACTTTGCTTTCTAAACATAAACATTTGCCAACATTTAGACAGAGAGGGAATTGTGTAATGCTATTTGCAATACTTTAGAAATGAATAGATGCATTTGTTTCCTTTGAGACAACCGACCCAACGTTTCTCTGTTACTGAATGTAGCGCTTTGAATTTTTTTGTTTTAATGGAAATTTATAAGCTCTAGTCCATATAAAGACGTTTGTAATATTCCATTCTTTTTCTTTATGCTGCACTGGTAAATTTTTAATGTCTGTGTTACTATTCTTTGGCCTCTTAGAAATGGTAACTTGACATGAATTTTATTATTATTATTTATTATTTTTATAATTAACCCAAAAAATAAGGTTCTTGAACATGTCAAAACATGCAAATGAAAAAAGAACAACAAAGTAATCCAAAAATTAATTAAAAAAAAATCAAGTTTATTGATGAAAAAAAAAACCTTAAAAAACTGGGGAAATAATACCAACCCCAAGAAATAAAAGCAATTTGCACATATTTGTTTTCAGCCTTATTTCGGGATATACAAGATATCCCCATTAACTGTACATTAGATACATGATTAGTCACAAGCAGGGGCGGACTGACCATTCGAGCACTCGGGCACTGCCCGAGGGCCCGGGGTCAGTAGGGGGCCCCATGAGATGCCCCTGGTACCTTTTATAGGCTTTTTCATAGGCTTTTTTGGGTTTGGGCAAGGACATGGGGGCCCCATGATTTCCTATTGCCCGGGGGCCCCATGAGTTCTCAGTCCACCCCTGGTCACAAGATATCATATAATGCAGAAACACATGTCAAATACAAATATGCATTATCCTAGACAGGTATCCCATGCATCTACAAGATTCTCAGGCCTCACCCACTTCTTCAGAACAAGGAAAAACCCAAATGATAAGCACAATATTTCATAAAACGCAACCCAGTATAAGCGTTTGCACAGTACCATCAGTTTTCGGAAGTTGTTCTGTTAGATATGATTACTTATTTTCACACAAAAAAATTACATATGCATCTCCTTCCACCCATCCCAGAATTCAAGGCTCCTGGACCACTGAGAAAAAGGGTTCTCTTCCTTTCCACCTGGCCAAGAGATTGGTGGCCCTTCTGGAGGACATTGCTGGAGACGTATTTTCTCAGTGGTGCCTTGACTACTGGAATGGGTGGAAGGAGAAGTCTTTTTGGTCAATAAATTTGATATTTTTTGTATTAATTGTTGGATTATTTTGCTGATCTTTATCATTTGCATGTGTTGATATGATGGAGAATCTAATTTTTGAATAAGAAATTGGTCTTTGTTTGGAGGTGATCAACACGGTAATATAAGGAGAAGGAAGGTTCGCCCAGCCATTGTGAATTCAAGGTTGACAATATTAGTATTCATTGCTATGTTTTACCAATGTGCTCTACAAAGCAATAGATATAACAAAGAGGGGTGATACAAGCACAATACATAATACTAATACATACAGTTGTTTAGTGTCACAGAGTTAGATGGACTCTCTCTGTCACCAAGGGTGAGAGACAGCACATATCCTAGACTTGTGCAAGTCCTCAGAGAGATGATTTATGCAAACAGCATCCAACAGAAGAGTTGACAGGCTTATGATAATGTCAGAAGCAGACAAATCAATCTGACAATCTGGGGGTTATTCACTAAAACTACATGGTGCAAAATCTGCATAGAAACCAATCGGCTTCCAGGTTTTATTGTCAAAGCTTAATTGAACAAGCTGAAGTTAGAAGCTGATTGGCCACCATGCACAGCTGCACCAGATTCCGAGTGCTCCAGTTTTAGTAAATCTCCCCCTCTGAGTCCAAGTTCCAGACAGATAGACAAAGCAACAATTGTATCTAAGTCATGCAACCACTGTGATTGGCCGTCCCAGTGGTCACATAATTGGAAGCTCCGGATGTATGCATCAGAAGTTGCCTGTAGCCTCCCTAGTGGTCTGATTATGTCAGTATTTCTGTGCTCAAAGCAGTACATTTTTTTGCATGGAAATATATTTTTTTTTTATTGTAGGCCTGTAATTTTTAGGAATAACTCACTGAAATCTGTCCGAACAAGAGTCTAGTAAACATCCCGGGTAGGATAAAATTTGAAACACGAAATCATAAATTATAATTTAATAAATAATCATAAAAAATAATAATATAATAATAATACATTTAATTCAATAATATAATCAAACCAAAAACACTGAAATGTGAAATATAGCGCCAAGTTCGCACATCACTGAGCAAAGTCGCAGAACCGTTTTCAGTGTCTGATGACGAATTTCCCCCACGAATCATTATCACTCAATTCTGCAAGTGGTTCTGATTTACTATCGCTGTTCTCTAGCCGGTCTAAAACCACTTTTGACCTAAAGGGACGCTTTTTGGACGCCATGGACGTTTCTCAGTTTCCAGGCAGAAAGAACAGTAAAAAATGCAGGCAGGGCGCCGGACAAAGCACTCGGGACAAAATGTATGTGAAATGGTTTGATACAGGAATGTTATATTATGTGATTTTAGTGAATTTAGTGAATGTCACTTTTTCACATTTATAAATTTCCCGCCAGTTCCGTCTCCCATACGCCCCGACGTCGCAGGGAACGTAACCCGGAAGATGGATGCCGGCATCGGCCGGAGGACATTGCTGGGGGCATTGAAGGAGGGAGCGAAGGACAAGGTAAGTGAAGAAGAGATCCCGGAGCAACGCTGCAGGATATTCCCGAGTGTAGCTTGGGGGGGGGGGGGGTTACCGCTTGTGGTGCTGAAACTTTACCCCGAGCTACACTCGGGAATACTTCCAGGGAGGTTAACAACTTAGTTACAGTCCTGAGGGTGTGCAGTGAAGCACCGAAAAGCACAGAAAAGCCATTTCCCATGGAGGCATATGTATGGCAGCTCAGTGTTAAAGCCCCCCTTGCCCAGTCACAGTATATATGCATACACCCAGAGGGAACAGGTTAGGGTTTTTTTTTTGTTACCTTCCATCAATGGTGGACCGTTAGGGCCTGAAAAGTCTTCTCTGCTGATCTAAACACTCAGAATCAGAATCACTGACTTATGTTTTAATATATTTATTTCATGAATGTGTATTAACCCTTTCCCCGCCAGGTCCGTACTTCATATGGACCTGACAGCAGGGGGTTTTATACACAATCTGGGGGCGGCAGCCACCGGGATTGCATATAAAACTGACAGGTAGAATCCTGCCTATCAGGTAGAAGCAGTCAGACAGCTGCACTGCTGCCTGATTGCTTCCATAGCTGCTAGTACTGTTGACCCACCTACGTGTGTGCTCCAGCCATGTATCTGGCCCATCTGCAGGCCCAGGCAGTGCCATGGAGGGTGCCAGTGGATGGAGGGGAAAAAAGAGAGTAGATGAACGTCTGCTTTCCTCCCCTTCTTTCTGTGACCCGGAAAGTGATGTGTATGATGTCATTTCTTGGTCATTGCTGAATTGCAATACATCCAGTAGAGCCCAGAGGAGACATGCATGGTCTAAAAGGAGCTGCATGTCTCAATAAAGAGAACCAAGAAAAATAATCATCACAAAAGAGGACTTTGTGTCTCCTATGTGATGAAAAAAAAAAGTTAAGTAATTTTTTTTTTTAATTGCAAAAAAATAAAGTTACATCCAAAAACACATAACATCCCTCCCCAAACAAATGTAAGGCCCCCACCCTCACATGTATGCAGGTACAAACGTAAATGCACACTTCGGCGTGCCTACACATGAAAATGTCAAATGCGATACACAGATTACAGGTGAGAGCAATAATTCCAGCCAGGAGTGGACTGACCATTTGGAAACTTGGGCACTGCCCGAGGGCCCGGGGTCATTAGGGGGCCCCATGAGATGCCCCTGGTACCTTTTTCATAGGCTTTCTTGAGTTTGGGCAAGGAAACAGGGGCCCCATGATGCCCTATTGCCCGGGGGCCCCCATGTGTTGTCAGTCCGACCCTGATTCCAGCACAAGACCTCATGCATAACACCAAACCTATTGGGGCTTTTGTAGTATATAGAAAATATAGGGTACTGAAGTGTGTCGCCATTTCATAGGCGCACACAAATGTAAGGTTTGGCATGTTGGGCATCTATTTACTAGGCGCAACCTCATCTTTTATATTTTATAAAAAATGTGGGTAATTTGCTGTGTTTCTTTGCCCTAGAATTCACTTTAGTGTGTTTTTGGAATTTGAAAATTTGGATTTGGAACTACCACAAGTTTATTCTATAGATTGTCTGCTTTCAGAAACATATAATGCTTTGGGGCTTTGTGTAATCTGCAGGCCTAAAATGACTTTTTATATATTCACAACGTGCAAAAAATGCTTAACCTCCTCGACGGTATGATTCTTTCCAATTTTTTGTGCTGAAAGTGGTACCATTTTTTTGCATGGAAATATATAGTTTTTTATTGTAGGCTGTAATTTTTAGGAATAACTCACTGAAATCTGTCTGAACAAGAGTCTATTAAACATCCCGGGTATGATAAAACTTGAAACACGAAATCATAAATTATAATTTAATAAATAATCAAAAAAAAATAATAATATAATAATAATAAATTTAATTCAATAATATAATCAAACCAAAAACACTGAAATTTGAAATACAGAGGCAAATTCGCACATCGCTGAGCAAAGTCACACAAAATCGTTTTCAGTGTCTGATGACAAATTTCCCCACAAATCATTATCACTCAATTCTGCAAGTGGTTCTGATTTACTATCGCTGTTCTAAAACCGCTTTTGACGCAAAGGGACGCTTTTTGGCCGCCATGGACTTTTCTATGTTTCGAGGAGCAGAAAGAACAGTCAAAATGCAGGCAGGGCGCCGGACAAAGCAGTGGGGACAAAATGAATGTGAAATGCAGTGAAAAAGCAATGACAGCAAAAATGTCATTTTTTAAAAATTTCAAATTTCCCGCCGGTTCCGCCGCCGAACGTTCCAACGTCACAGGGACCGGAACACGGAAGCCAGATGCTGGCATCCACCAGAGGAGATGGCTGGGGACGCTGCAGGGGACCCATCGTGGAGCGAAGGACAAGGTAAGTGCTGCAGGGACCCCCAGAGAACGCTGCATGGTAAGCCCGAGTGTAGCTCGGGGTTACCGTTCTTGGTATAGAAATTCTACCCCGAGCTACACTCGGGAATACTGCCAAGGAGGTTAAAGGTGGTTAAATCATTTCCAATAGTCTACTTTATTAATTTCATAGCCCTTCTCTTGGTTGTACTGCTTCCTGTACTGTATGTTTATGTTAGAGCATTTATCTATTCATATTTCAGCCACCATGTGTTGCTGGGGTCAAAAAAATCTGTTTTGGGGCCCTTAGAGTTAACAGTGCTGGAGATTGTAGCTTACAAAAAATGTTAATGAAACTGTTGCTTTAATGAATCAGATTTTGAGTTGACAACATCGGGGACATCTAGTAGGTGTACAATAATGTTGGCGGGATACCCTAACGGGATAAAGATATCCATATATTTTCACAATATTTCAAGATTTAAACCACACAGTATTCAAGCTATGAAGGAACATGGGACAGTATGAATCTTTCAACACTATAATTCCATGGAATCTTTCTTTTGCATTCTACAAACATGTATTTTTTCTATCTGCATTCTATTCATTGCAGTTCCCACCAGGGGCAGACTGACCATTTGGAAACTCGGGTCAGTAGGGGGCCCCATGAGATGCCCCTGGTACCTTTTTCATAGGCTTTTTTGAGTTTGAATAAGGACACAGGGGCCCCATGATCCCCTATTACCCGGGGGCCCCATGAGTTGTCAGTCCTCCCCTGGTTCCCACGCATCTGAAGTTTATCAAGATACATGCCCAGCCATACCTTTTGGTCTATTACTATCATTTAATATGTATAGTCAATATGTCAATTATATAAAGCCATGATTTACATGGTAAAATATGGTGTCATATGAAACATTACAGCGCTGTTAATTATCTTTAACCAGTCTTCAGTGAATACCACTGAAATATATTAATGTTGCACTCCGGATTGCTTTTCTTTCATTGTTTTTAATGTGTATTCAGTGATTGTATGTGTCACTATCCACGGATATTATTATTTTTCCCTACATGGGATTAATAAAAATATGTGATTTGACATATGAGCTGCATTGCTTGGGTGTTTATTACCTACTTTGGTAGTTCGCTTCTGGCAACTACTACTCTTTTTGCTATATATTATTTTTTGGTTTACGCCCACACCATTAACCCCCCTAGCGGTATGATTATTTCAGATTTTTGGTGCTGAAAGCGGTACCATTATTTTGCATGGAAATATGTAGTTTTATTATTGTAGGCTGTAATTTTTAGGAATAACTCACTGAAATCTGTCCGAACAAGAGTCTAGTAAACATCCCGGGTATGATAAAGTTTGAAACACAAAATCATAAATTATAATTTAATAAATAATCATAAAAAATAATAATATAATAATACATTCAATTCAATAATATAATCAAACCGAAAACACTGAAATTTGAAATAGAGCGCCAAGTTCTCACATCGCTGAGCAAAGTCGCAAAATCGTTTTCAGTGTCTGATGAGGAATTTCCCCCACGAATCATTATCACTCAATTCTGCAAGTGGTTCTGATTTACTATCGCTGTTCTGTAGCTGATCTAAACCCGCTTTTGACCTAAAGGGACACTTTTTGGACGCCATGGACGTTTCTCAGTTTCCAGGCAGAAAGAACAGACAAAATGCAGGCAGGGCGCCGGACAAAGCACGCGGGACAATATGTATGTGAAATGGGTTGAAACAGCAATGTTTTACTATGTGAAATTTGTTTGGAAAAAAATTACATTTTTTAACATTTTCAAATTTCCCGCTGGCAGCGCATGTACGTCCCGACGTCACAGGGACCGGAACACAGAAGCCGGATGCCGGCACCAACCGGAAGAGATGGCCGGGGACGCTGCAGGGGACACATCGTGGGAGCGAAGGACAAGGTAAGCTCTGCAGGGACTCCCTATGCAGCGCTGCATGGTAAGCCCGAGTGTAGCTCGGGGTTACCGCTTTTGGTACTGAAACTTTACCCCGAGCTACACTCGGGAATACCGCCAGGGGGGTTAAAAGGTGCATTCTTTGAGCTTACTATTAGGTTACCACACCTTTGTATTTTGTGGTACATTTATATTTTTGAATAGTACAATAATGTTGGCATTTTCACATCCTTTCATTGGTTAGTCAGAGTGCGTATTAGATAGAGCTAGCAAATCACATCTATAGAGAACTGCACAAACTAAAAATATATTATTGTAGATTTAAAAGCTGTTTTTTGAACCCACAATGGCTGACAGAGAAAAAGACATTTATTTGGTCACAGATATACTTACAAAGCCATTTTCAAGATGGACTGTTCAAAAAAAAGCTGAACATCGTGAGGAAAGGTCAACCAATTAAATCTGAGAGGGAAAGGTCAACCTCAAAGTTAGTAGGGCCTCATGTACACATGAACACACCTAGTCGTTAAACTCTTCTCGCAGCAGAAAAAAACACTAAATGTGGCAAAAACACGTGTCAATGCGATACCGCGTTTAGCCCCTTTTAGCCGTGTTTAACGTTTGGATGTTTAGTCATTTGTTTGGCCAGAGTATTTGCCATTGACATGCAAGCGCTAAACATGGCTAGTGTTTAGCTGCATTTGCACGTGGTTTTACCACGTTTTTTGTCTCGTTTAGCGTTTTTGTGGCCAACACGTTCCTCTGCTGAATGCAATTATTCTGTGTTCAGAAGAGGAATGTTTAACTGCCTCTAAACTCTGCTGCTCCTAAACTCTGGTAAAAGCCTATGTGTACATGAACACGTAGGGAAATTAAATAAACCTGCTCCAAAAACCTAATAAATTGATAAATAAATGCTGCTGCTCATAGATGAAAAAAAAAAACAACTATAAAAAACCACCGCGCAAAAAAAAATTATATAAAATATTACATAATAAATTCCATCAAATGAAACAAACGTGAAAATATAAAATATATAAAATATGATGGAAAAATAAATAAAGTCCCAAATCATTAGTGTAAAAAATGTGCTCCAATCAGAAAACAGTGCTCAAAAAAACTCCAACGTGCCCACACCATCCATAACTTCCAATCTGGCTCTCACTTACCAAATGGAATGGACTCTTAGCTGGTAGGGATTAAGAGTCAAACAAGCTTAAAGGTGGGACAGGGGCGGACTGATCGAGGGCCCAGGGGCAGTAGAGGGCCCCATGAAATGCCCCTGTTACCTTTTTTAGGTGTGCTTTGAGTGTGGGCAAGGACACAGGGGCCCATGATCCCCTAATGCCCGTGGGCTACATGAGTTATCAGTCCGCCCCTGAGGTGGGATCCATCCTCCACAAATGAATCCCACTCAGGAAATCCTTGCTTGACAACTGTTTGATGCTGTGATAATCACTCAATCCAACAGTTCAGGCTAGAAACAAATGCACCAAAATAATTCCAGATACTTATTGGTTATGCCCATCCGTAGTGACCACATTGATGTTTTTCAGGGATTTCAATCCCGATGTAGGCAGCCTGGGATCTCCCTCCCTCCTTCCCTCCAGATGAATTATATCCTCTTTTCTGCCAGATCTCTGACTTCTCCCCCCAGTTCTCTGCTGCTCTCCGTCTATTTTTTTTCACCCGCAGACAGTAAAAAGGAGCTCAGTGTTAATGGGTGACTAAGTGAATCAACTAGCTCCCTTATCACAGCATCAAACAGTTGTCAAGCAAGGATTTCCTGAGTGGGATTCATTTGTGGAGGACGTATCCCACCTTTAACCTTGTTTGACTCTTAAGCCCTACCAGCCAAGAGTCCATTCCATTTGGTGAGTGCGGGCCAGATTGGAAGTCACGGATGATGTGGGCACGTTGGAGTTTTTTGAGCACTTTTTTCTGATTGGAGCACAATATTTCCACTATTGATTTGGGACTTTGGACTTTATTTATTTTTTACATCATTTTTTATATATTCTATATTTTCACATATTTGTTTCATTGGATGGAATTTATTATGTAATATTTTAGCTCATTTTTTTTGCGCTGTGGTTTGGTCATTTTTGTTGAGTTCAGGGGCTTTGGCAAAAAAACACCAAAAACTCCTAAACTCAAGTTTAGGAGCAACAGTGTACATGAGGCCTAAGCCTGTCCCAGCTGGAAAAAGGGTTTGTCCACCACTTTCAATACATCAACTACAAGCGGTACCCTTGGATTCCATCATGAAGGCATTAAGGATGGACTTATTATTATTACATCGAGTTTATATAGCGCCAAAGGGTTTGCTCAACGCTGTACAATAGAGGGGGGGACAATACATGAAACAGTACAGCAACAACAAACAGCACACGAGGGGTTAGAGGACCCTACTCTTTCGAGCTTACAATCTAGGAGGGAGGGGGTAGTGGTACAGAAGGAAGTGGCTGTGGGGGATGGAGTGGTAGGAAGGAAGAATGAAGGAGAATGGCTGTTAGGTGAGGGTGGGGTAGGCTTCCCTGAAGAGATGGGTTTTCAGGGAGCGCCTGAAAGTGAGAAGGGAAGGTGACAGTCTGATGGATTGGGGTAGTGAGTTCCAGAGGATGGGGGAGGACCTGGAGAAGTCTTGCAGTCGTGCGTGGGAGGAGGAGACCAGGAAGCAAGATAGAAGGAGGTCCTGTGAAGAGCGAAGGGTATGGGTAGGGTGGTACCTGGGAATCAGGTTGGTGAGGTAGCTGGGGCAGTGTTGTGAATGGCTTTGTAGGTCAGAGTGAGTAGTTTGAATTTGATGCGTTGGGCAATAGGGAGCCAGTGGAGGGATAGGCAGAGGGGGGTGGCAGAGGTGGAGCGGCTGGTGAGGTGGATGAGTCTGGCCGCTGAGTTCAGGATGGTCTGAAGCGGGGAGAGCCTGCACTGGGGTAGGCCGGTGAGGAGGGAGTTGCAGTAGTCGAGGCGTGAGACAATCAGGGAGTGTACGAGTAGTTTAGTGGTGTCTGGGGTAAGGGAGGTGCGTATCTTGGCGATGTTGTGGAGGTGGAGCCTGCATGTGTTTGTAAGTGATTTGACATGAGGTTGGAAGGAAAGGTTTGAGCCCAGAATGACGCCAAGGACTTTGGCTTGTGGTTCAGGATTGATGGTGGTGTTGTTGGTAGTGATGGATAGGATGGGGGGTGGGGGGGGGGGGCAATTTAAAGTTCCAGTCTTTAAATTGCCAACACACAGCAGTGAGTGATATAATAGTTGAGAATGGGTATAATAAAGGCCCCCTCTATCATTATAGTTTTATAGTGCATAAAGAACTGAAATGAAGGGGATATTCTTTTCTGCTGGAAATTACAGGAAGCTACGATTAGGTGAATGAGTGGTGGAGAGAAAAAAGTAGAATCAATTATTACCTAGAGGCAACAAGCTTGGGGAGCTGAAGTTATTGGATTGTTGTCAACAGTATTTTTTTTCAGGATAGGGAGTAGAGGAAGATGGCAGAAAAATCACAAGTTAGCAATTTACTGTATGTTCACAACCTAATTTCTCCTTTTCGTTTAAAGTACAGGCTACATCGACCCTTTGTCACCCCATTGCAGCCTTTACAGTTGCTAAGCAACTGGAATTGACGCTCACTATGAATGCAGTTTGAGCAACCCAGAGCTGGCAACATCAGCTAAAAAAACTGTGTGCAGATGTGTAGTTGACACAGATTGATGAGCCTTTCCTGAAGCTAGACAAAGAAGACTCTTTTCTTATTGATCAGGAACTGCTATGGTGGTGAGAGGTCCCTTTTGGGTTCTGCACAACTGTCGTAGCATGTATGAAGAGTTCCCACTCTCAGTTCGATTTTGTGAAATATTATGTATTAAGTAAGAGATGTAAGACTCCAGAGTCAGGAGATATTTTTTGGAGATCTCACCATTAGAGATGCGCAAAAATAGAGTTTTCTGCTTTGCACAAATTTCAGTGAAATTGGAAGATAAAGGGCTGTACCAAAGTAATGCAAAGTGGCCATACTTTTTTTTTTTTCTTAATTTACAAAGGTTGTTCGAGTAAAAGATTCCAAGCAGAAGCAAAGTGCCATTGTTGAGTTTTTGAGGGGTACAGACAGGGGCGGACTGACAACTCATGGGGCCCCCGGGCAATAGGGGATCATGGGGCCCCTGTGTCCTTGCCCACACTCAAAGCACACCTAAAAAAGGTAACAGGGGCATTTCATGGGGCCCCCTACTGACCCCGGGCCCTCGGGCAGTGCCGGAGTGTTCGAATGGTCAGTCCACCCCTGTCCCACCTTTAAGCTTGTTTGACTCCTGAGCCCTACCAGCTAAGAGTTCATTCCATTTGGTAAGTGAGAGCCAGATTGGAAGTTATGGATGGTGTGGGCACGTTGGAGTTTTTTTGAGCACTGTTTTCTGATTAAAGCACATTCTTTACACTATTGATTTGGGACTTTGGACTTTATTTATTTTTCTATCATATTTTATATATTTTATATTTTCACGTTTGTTTCAAACTCAAAAAAGCCTATGAAAAAGGTACCAGGGGCATCACATGGGGCCCCCTACTGACCCCTGGCCCTCGGGCAGTGCCCGAGTTTCCAAATGGTCAGTCTGCCCCTGGGTACAGACTGTCCAACACCCACAAAAGGCTACAGAATGATTTTGGAGATGGCACCATTGACAAGAGTCACCAATGACAAGACATTGTTCATCAATGGTGTCATCTCTGTAAACATTCTGTAGATAACCTGCACCCCTCCTTCATCAAGAACGTAGTGGCAGCACATTGCTCCTGCTTGGAATCCATTATTTACCTGCAATGAAAAAGAAGAGGCGTTACAGTAGAGGAAGTTACTCAACCAACATGCAAAATTTGAATGATCTATGTAAATTAATTAAAATGTATGCCCACTATTGTTTTACTTTTGGTACAGCCCTTGTAAGGTTAAACAATCTCAGATCTGTCTCTTTTAAAAAAAGTGTTAGTAATACTTTTCCCAAATACAGTGGCGACTATATAAAAATCCATTAATCAAGATGATCAACATGTCAAAATGGGTATGGTGTCTGCTTGGCTTTGTTAATAAACTAAGCAAGGACAGTGACAGGGTTTTGTTTATAAACAAAGCCAGGTTACACGGTGAGCATTGCTTGCTTATCCCAACTCAGCATTGGTGTTCCCAAGAGATATTACTATTTATAATACCACGTCTAAGTTAAATGGTCTGTTAAAAGAGAGATTTGAGATTTCCTTACCTGAAGGTGTATTTATATTTTTGAAGTCAACTTGGGATAACAGCTACTTTATATTTGTTAAATGCCCCATTCTCATGGCATAAAAATTTGCAGCTTACCTTTTTTTAGATGCTCTAGTCTGGACCCTCCAGTGAGGAAAATTCCTAGATAGTTATCTTTGATTCTGAGGGGGCTTGGCAGCTGTGTTTGCTATATTTAACCCTGTGTATGCTGTGCTGGCAGATTTTTATTATTAGTTGTAAATTATAAACTAAATTTGAACGCTGTGGGGGAGATTTGCTAAACGTGGAGCACTCAGAATCTGGTGCAGCTGTGCATAGTAGCCAATCAGCTTCTAACTTTAGCTTGTTCAATTAAGCTTTGACAATAAAACCTGGAAGCTGATTGGTTTCAATGAGTTACACTAGATTTTGCATACTCCAGTTTTAGTAAATCTCCCCATGTCTGTCCTGAAAAAGGGTGAACGGTTTAGGGGCAAGGCTTCTTGCCTTGTATGTAAATGAGGACAGACCTGGGACAGGCTCACTCATTGTTCAACATTGTTCAAAACGCCTTAAAGTCAGTCATCAGATCTCCTCCTGAGAAATATCTAAATGGTAAGAAATTGTTTAAAGGATAAGTTTACCTTTTGCTAAAAGATAATAAATGCACAATTTTTTGCAGGTAAAGAAAATGTGCTGTCAGGGCTCCGGGTATGACCAGAGGTGTGTGGACTGACACAGGGAAACGCAGGCTTCAGATATAGTATAAACAATATCATTTATTTAAGACTAAACAATACATAAACACAGTGCAAGACTAAACATAAACACAGTGCAAACAAACCAAACCCAAACCCCCAACAGATAACAAAAGAACAATACTAAGCGTAGTCGGGCAGGCCGGGTCAGTAGCAAACGGGCAGGCAAGGTACAAAGGAGCAGGGCAGAGCGTAGTCAGACGGGCCGGGTCAGGAACAATCAGGCAGACAAGGTACAAAGGAGCAGACTGGAGAGTGGTCAGGAATAGCAGAGGTCAGGACAGGCGGAGTTCAATCAGAGTCAGGGATCAAGCAGGATCAGACAGGAAGCAGACAGGATGCAGGTACAGGGGCTCTTGGGAAA